AAAAAAAAAAAAAAAAAAAAACAGCAACTCCAAAATAGTTGAACTGTTGGAAAGAAGGTTTTTCTCAACACATTTCTAAACAAAATGGTTTTAATAACTCATTTCTAATAACTGATTTATTTTATCTTTGCCATGATGACAGTACATAATATTTTACTACATATTTTTCAAGACACTTCTAAACAGCATAAAGTGACATTTAAAGGTTTAACTAGGTTAATTAGGATAACTAGTCAGGTTGGGGTAATTAGGCAAGTTATTGTATAAAGATGGTTTGTTCTGTAGACTATTGAAAAAAATATAGTTTAAGGGGGCTAATAATATTGATCCTAAAATGATTGTTTATTATTATTAAAAACTGCCTTTATTCTAGCCGAAATAAAACAAATAAGACTTTCTCTTGAGGAAAAAAATATTATCAGACATACTGTGAAAATTTCCTTGCTCTGTTAAACATATTTTGGGAAATATTTCAAAAAGAAAAAATTATTAAAAAGGAGGCTAATCATTCTGTCCTCAACTGTATAAAGTATTGTTTATATAAGAAGTGCAGATTGTTCACCCAAAAATTCAAACGCTGTCATTATTTTCATTTTTCGGTTAATCTTGCAGTCCAGTACAGACAATGTGTTGTGTTTCATTTGCAGCAACAAGGTTATCAAATATAATTTCTGATTATGTAATGATGATAAATGTTTCTTTGCCCTCAGCCAAAGACTATGTGGACTCTGATCCTTCTAAAAGACAAGGAATCCCAATCATCACCATAAAACAAGGATTTGAGCCCCCAAGCTTCACTGGCTGGTTCCAGGCTTGGGACTCGAAGATGTGGGACACAGACCCACTGGATCGCATCCGTGGTCGTTACTAAAAGAACGTACATTTAAGCACACATTATATACTTTTGTTTTGCAAAGCTTCCAGAATAATCACCTCTTGTGTTTCATGCATTGGTGGTCTGAAAGGGATGCAGATGGAAACACAATATGCAATAACACTGCATGTTAAACCACTATGTACTGTATTGTACCTCTATTAATAACTTCTTGCCCTATTATTTCTATGCCTTGTTAAACATTTAAACTCTTTTATATTTCCTTTTATTATACTTCTGTATTCCAATAATGTTTTTGTTTTTTCCAAATGAAGAAAAGTGGATTTTTATTACCAAGACTGCATTTGTATGTATTGGAACATTCAGACTAAGTGCCTTGGATTTTTAAAAACTTTACATGTATGGATAATGCATTGCAATATGCAAAATGATGTGTAATCTGAGACACTATGCAAGTTGATAATAATAATGAAAAGTATAATAAAACTTTAAAAGAATTATTGAGTTATTGAGTGATTATTGAGTGTTTGTGAATACACTACCATTTAATATAATTACTAAGGTCAGTAAAGAACTGAAGAGAGAAATGTACACCTATCATTCACTTATTGTACACTATACACAATGGACATTAAACTGATCATAAGTGACAAAGTCTTTTACACTGTGATATAACATTTCTGAAAAGATGTAAATAGTGCAAAAAACAAACAAACAAACAAACAAACAAACAAACAAACAAACAAACAAAAAAACCTGAAACAATAAGTACCCCAGCTGTTCAAACTTCAATAATAAGAAATGTTACTAAAGAGCAATAAATTACTTTTACGAAAAAAAAAAAAAAAAAAAAGATAAAAGAAACTCTTAGGGCTCTATTTTGATGATCCATGCACAAAGTCCAAAGCGCAGGGCGCAAACACATTAAGGGTGTGTCAGAATCCACTTTCGCTATTTTAAGGACAGAAAAATCCACCTTGCGCCGTGACTAATAATGCTAATAATGATGACATAATACAAAGACAACTTAAACTGAAAAAGCCCCCCCAGAAGACACTATGTACACAAGAAATTAATAAATTTTTAAAATATTTTCATTATTTTTTATATGTAAGGATATTTGCGTATTGCTGTACATCTTGTGTGTATTAAACAGTGTGTAAGCGAGGTGCATAACTAACGCGCTCTGCCCTGGACTATAGACTAGCTTTGATCTGGTCTATTAAACTGTCTATTATAGTTCCTCAAAATAGCAATGCGCCAGCAATGCGCCTTAACACGCCTCCTTTTTTAGACCAGAACGCCTTTGGGCGCACATATGAGCGCAAATGCATTTGCCATTTTAACAGCGTGGTGCATAACGTCAAAACGACTCTTGCCCCAAGCTGAAACTAGCAAACAACAATTGTGTCGCGCTTTGCGCTGCATTGCGCCGGGTGTATGATAGGGCCCATGGTGTGCTTTACCCAGGTGAGTGGTCTTTACTAACCACCTGTAGGTGACACACTCGTTTCCTTTTCATATCTTTCAAACACCTTACCTCGTGCTTCTTGACAACAATGTGCAATTTTTTGTGAGCTACACACAGATGAGTGGGTTTGACAAGCCAACTAGTGGACACAATACAAATAATATTTGTTAAAAATAATAAACTAAACTTAAATAAACAAATGAACTTTTTTCCACTCTTTGTTGTATTGCAGCCATTAGCTAAAATTATTGAAGTTCTTTTTTTCCTCATTATTGCACACACAGCACCCCATATTGACAGAAAAACACAATTGTTGACATTTTTGCAGATTCATCAAATAAGAAAAAGAGAAATATTATATGGTCCGAAGTACCCAGACCCTTTGCTCAGTATTTAGTAGACGCACCCTTTTGATCTAATACAGCCATGACTCTTTTGGGGAAGTTCTACAGTTCTCTCTGTTTGGATGGTAAACGTTGGTAGACAGCCATTTTTAGGTCTCTCCAGAGATGCTCAATTGGGTTTAAGGCAGGGCTCTGGCTGGGCAATTCAAAAACTTGAGTTGTTGTGAAGCCACTCCTACCTTATTTTAGCTGTGTTATTATAGGGTTATTGTCTTGTTCGAAGGTAAACCTTTGTGCCAGCCTTAGGTCCTGCAGACGGTTTTTGTCCAGGATATCCCTATACTTGGCCACATTCTCTGTACAATTTATCATCTTTCTGATATCAGTGCGATATCATCTTAACCTTGATTGCAACCATTTGTCTTGTCACTGCAGCTCAAAAACACCCTCACACTATGATGCTGCCACCACCACGCTTCACTGTTGAGACTTTATTGTGACTTTGTATTTTTAGCAATCTCCATGTGGGCTTTTATGTGTCGGGTCACTCTTGCCTAAAGCCCTGACTGGTGGAGGGCTGCAGTAATGGTTGACTTTAATTTTCTCCCATCTCCCGAGTACCGACTGCACCACTGGAGCTCAGACACAGTGATCTTTGGGTTCTTCTTTACCACACTAACCAAGGCTGGCTCCCCCGATAGCTCTGTTTGGTTGGACAGCCAGCTCTAAGAAGGTTTATTAAGGCCACTGTGGTCTTAGGAACCTTAAGTGCAGCAGATTTTTTGTAACCTTGGCCAGATCTGTGCCTTGCCACAATTCTGTCTCTGAGCTCTTTGGGCAGGTCCTTTGACCTCATGATTCTTATTTGCTCTGACATGCATTGTGAGCTGTAAGGTTTTATATAGACAGGTGTGTGGCTTTCCTAATCAAGTCCAATCAGTATAATCAAACACAGCTGGACTCAAATAAAGGTCTCAAATCTCAAGGATGATCAGAAAAAATGGACAGCACCAGAGTTAAATATATGAGTGTCACAGCAAAGATTCTTAATCAGAATGTTCGGGTTGGGGATAGAACCCAGGTCTCTGACTTGAGAGGTGCGTCACAAACCACTGAGCAACTGGCAGTTCATGAACCCAAACAACAGAAGGCAACTTGCTTCTTGGTGGGAATCTATTGTTAACGAAAAATTTTCAATAAAAGATAAAAGTAACGTAAGGAAAAAACAGTCTTCCAATATCCAAAAATACAAAACTCAAAAGAGGCAAAAACAACAACTCCGGAACAGTTGAAGTCAAAAAATTCCAAAGATATGAGTCATAGAAGAGCTTAGCATAATAACTAGGACACTTTACAAAGGAATAACTCAGTGGTTGACAAGCTTGGATCCACAATACCTGAGCCAAGCACATATGAAACTGAGACTACTCAAATACAAGAAACTAAACAAGGCACATGTGAAATCAATGACAAAGATTATGAATACAAAAGGGAAAAGAATAAAATGACATCCAGTGGACCAAAAAGGACATTAAAAGAAAAACTAAAATAACAAAAGGGCAAAACCCTGACACAGAGATGCCCAAAGTAGGGCCCACGGGCCAAAGCTGGCCCATTATAACCTTTGATTTGGCCCACCATCCCATCTGAGAAGAGAGTGAGAAGGAAGGAGAGGGCTGGGGCAAACGCCATTAAAAGAGATGATAAATAGTAATTTGACATAACCTTTTTTATTGTTTGTTAGAAATTAGATTGTTTTTGTTTTTACTGTGATATACGTTCATAGTTAAATTGTCACCTTGGAATTATAAGGTTCTATCTGCGTTCTGAATGATTTTGAGATATTGAGCTTTAAAGTTTTTGCATTCCATATAGCAAACAGTATGTGTGTAACATTTCTTTTTTTTAAATATAAAGTCCTAAAACGTAAACAACTTATAAAAAAACATCCCATAATGTAAATAAGTTGTCATTTAATAATAATATGTCAATAACTAAATTTTGACAAAAATGTCAGACAGAACCTTATAATTCTAAGGTGACAAAATGTAAAAAAAAAATAAATAAAATATGTAAGACAAAATTGTCTTACCCCTATAATTCTTCTTAACCCTAAACGTTTGAACAGTATTGAATATAATTGTGATTTTGTGTGTTTACAACATAAAGAATGTTTGGTGTTTTTTCAAACATTGTTGCATTTATTTACTTATGCATTTATAGCCATCCCCATGGACTTAAGTGTCGTCCACCACGTCTAGACTGTGTGACACGTGGGTGATTCTGCTGAGTCTTTATGCAGTGGATTAGCAAGTGTGTTTTAGCTCATCTGTCAAGCTCCCACTCATTCAGTCTCTTTATCTCCTTCCCGGTACTCATTAGCCTCCGTTTACATCTTGTCTGTATCACCATATCGTCAGAGAAAGCAACATTTTTTTTTTTTTTATTGCAACTATGAATCAGAAGGTTGTACTGATCACCGGTTGTTCCTCTGGTATCGGATTGTCACTTGCTGTTCGTATTGCCAATGATGAGAAGAAGAGGTTTATGGGTAAGGACAATAAATAAAATACTCGCATAAACTGTGATTTTATGACGATCTATGTGAGTATAATAGTAGGGTAGACCAAATCTGTTGGCTTTTTATTGTATTAAACAAAAACTCTCCAGAGTAGACAATTTAGCTTGATTAAAGATGTTTGAAGACAAAAGGGGGAATTTGATACTCCTTGCCAGATACAATTGTAACACTGCACGAGGGCAGTTTTAATGTTATTAGTGTTGTAAATTAAATAATAGGTCTATATTTTACTGACACACAGACAGATTTTATACAGCAAGCCGTATTACATGTTTAAAAAAATCTGTTCACAAATTTAGTGCTGTATTTATCTCTAATTGCACTTTTGAACTTGCTCCTTAACCCGCATTAAACCTAACCTTACCACTTAACCTGTTACTAGCCTTACCTGTATCCCACCTTAATAGCTGCATGCAAGTGTTTTGCAACATAACATGAGTTCAATAGTAAGTGCAATGTATATATATATATATATATATATATATATATATATATATATATATATATATATATATATATATATATATATATATAAATCCATCAAAACATTATCAATATTAACTGATAAATTGATTCAAATATTCATATATATATATATATATATATATATATATATATATATATATAATATACGACAGTATAAGGGCCAAAAACCAAACGTGATTAAGGCTAGTGGGCCAAAGGTAAATATAGTTGCAATGGTTAATTTCCTTATTAAACAATATTTAAAAATGACTTGAAAACATTGCTTTATATTATCTAATAAAGTATTTTTTCACATTTTATAATTAATTTATAGTAAAAACAAAACAATCTCATTTATAACAGAATTACACTACACAAAAATTTCAGTTTGATTTTTTGTAGATCAGCAATCAAACAAAAGAGGCTACATAAAAAAAAAAACACGTTAAGTCAAATTAGAAATGAAAACCTCCGTGTTAAAGGCAATTTCCTCAACACTTTCCATCATTCTCACTCTCCTCTCAGATGCGATGGTGGGCCAAATCAAACTTACAATGTGCCAACTTTTGTCTGTGGGTCCTATTTGGGCGTCTCTGTTCTACAAAGTGACTTTGCTTGCAGATTTTAATCCATGAATTAATCTATTAGTTGATGACATCGATGACTGTTTTCCCTGTCTCTGGCCTTTTGTTATTGAAACCGGTTGGTGAAAAATACTGTTTTTTCTTTACTTTTTTTCTTATTTGAACTAAATATTTTAAGTTAGGTTTGGTGGTGGCAACGTTACACAATGGGAGATCAGACAACTCATTGTGTTTGGTCTGAACTCTATAACTCTCATGTAAAAGCATTTTGTGGATTTTGAATGTTTGAACTGTGTGAGAAAGGAAATAGAGTTTTACTACTGTACCTTGTCTGTCAACAACATACTGAGAAATTGTATGGATTGCTTACAGATTTTCCATTAGTCATTAATCCATTAGTCATTGATGACTGTGTTGCGTATATGTAGCTTGAAGCCACTTAGAATTACTGGTGCAAACGTTATCAGATTAATTCTTCTGAAAGTTAAACTAAATGTTTTTCCTTTGTCGGTTTATTCCACAGTGAGGATATTTTTTTTGAAGCAGGTGGAGGCAGTGGGTCTTACTTAAGAGATCAATCAGTTCAATGTGTAAGATGTGGACTCTATAATTCCAGTGTTAAAGTGCACATGGATTATGACAATTTGAATCCATATTTGAAAAGGGAAATACTAACAGTGTTAGAACTGTATCGTGTCTGCACAGTATACTGACAAATTCATTTTAAAAATATATTTCTTCATGTGGAACCCATGGATTATTTTATAAAGTCCATTAGTCATTAATCCGTTACTCATTGATGACTGTGCTCCTCGTCAGAATACACCAAAGCTGATTGGTGCAAATTTTAGTGGAATAATTCTTATGAAAGTTAATAAGCAAACTTGTCATAGAAGCATAGGTGGAGACAGCACCTCATACTTAAGGAGATCACGCAGCTCAGTTTGTATGATGTGAACTCTATAATTACAATGTCAAAGTGTACATGGATTACGACAGTTTAAATACGATTAAGAAGTGAAATGCTTATTGTATTATATCTATACTCTCACTGCTCAATATACTGAAAACTGGCTGGTAAAATGTTTCTCTAAATATTTTTGATTTTCCGTGTGTGCAGCTTGTGGATTCTCCTATAAAGGGATTCACATGCAGATTTTCTTAAGTCAGTTAGCCATTAATCCATTGGTCATTAAATGATGACTGATCCCCTTCTGTTGCCTGAAATCACTTGTGTTGTTTGCAGACTAACTCCACTGAACGCTAAGCTAACTGTTTTGCCTTTGGCAGTGTATGCCACCATGAGGAACACGGCTAAAGCAGAAGCTTTGAAGGAAGCAGCGGGTCAAACTTTGGGCCAAACACTGGAGATCAAGCAGTTGGATGTCTGTGATGAAAACTCTATCAGAGCATGTGTGGACAGTCTGCCCATGGGCAAAATCGACATTCTCAGTAAGGATTTGATTCAAACCACTATTGCTTTGTACTCATTTGTCTTATTTTCTCTGACTGTGGTTGCCCGATTTTCAACAGTGCTGTTTCATTCATTTTTCTTCAGCTTAGTCCCTTAATTTATTAAAGGTCGCCACAGTGGAATAAACCACCAACTTATCTAGCATATGCTTTACACAGCAAATGCCCTTCCAGCTGCAACCCAGTACTGGGAAACATCCATACACTCTTGCATTTACACACTAATACATTATGGCCAATTTACTTTATTCAATTCACCTACTGTATAGCGCATATCTTTTGACTGTGAGGTAAACCAGAGCACCTGTAGGAAAGCCACACAAACATGAGGAGAATGTGCAAACTCTACACAGAAATGCCAACTGACCCAACCAGACTCAAACCAGCAGCCTTCTTGCTGTGAGGGGACATTGCTAACCACTTAGCCACCGTGTCACCCTACACACTATATTTGGGACCCTGGACAACAAAACCATAATAAGTCATTAGTTCTAGCTTTTTTAAATTAAGATGTACATCACCTGAAATCTGAACATATAAGCTTTCTATTTGTATACTTTGTTAGGATAAGACAGTATTTGCCCAAGATATAGCCAGACCTTATACTGAAGGTCCAGGAAGTATGACCGATTTGAATTAGCACTATTAGCATTATTCATTTACAGATCATAAATAATCAGACAGAATATTTAATCATTGGTTCATGAATGTCTCAGAATACATTTTTACTGAAACACCCCAAAAAATGTATCCAATAATGCTATTACTCATTCTTGTACAATGTTGAGCACGTTGCCAACAGCAATGGCAATACAACACATCTACTTTAAAAATACACTGGAAAAAAAAAATTTTTTTTTGCTTGTTCAAACTACTTATTTAAAATGTGCTGAAAAAAAAACAATTGTTGAGATTTCATTGAGACAACTTAATTTTTTATGTTCAATGTTTTAAAAGTGTTAAGTTACCTTAATCAATTTGTGTTGGGACAACATGAATGAATTGTGTGGAACCGTGCATTTTTACAGTGTATCTTGCCTTTCCAACTGGCGAAATGAACATGTGAAATGTCCAACCTCATTGTCAACACCTGCTCTTTCATTTTTGCCAGTGTATGCATATGATGTGAAGGAATGAACAATCAAAATTGGATCATGAAGTCTCTACAAAACACTATTCCTTTGTTGTCATTTTCTATGCCCTGAAGATTAGTTTGTTACTGTGGCTGCCCATTTTTTAACAGTCCTGTATCTCAAAGTATATTTCTTTATTAATTCTAAAAATATATTTGTGACCCTAGACTACAAATCCATCAAAAATCATGTTTTAGTTTTTGAAAATTGAGACATCAACTGAAATCTGAATAAAGCTTTCTGTTTGTATTACATTTGTGTATATAGTATGTATTAAAGTATACAGTTTAATAGGACAGTATTTGGTCAAGATATAGCCAGACGTTGCTATGCTATGCCTGACAGGTTAACCAACCAACAATGTATTTCATGCTGCATCATGTTAAAGAGTGTTGAAATGTCGGCGCAATTACAGCCAGAACCATGCATCATTCATTCATGAGTGTATTAAAGGTTTCAACACTGGCGCAGATCCTAAATGATCAGGGTTTTTTTCACTGCCAAAAAATACGACTATGCGCGCACTTGCATGTTTGTTTACATAATGGGTTGAACCATTTATGCAGGGAACCTGACATATTTTTAATAATCTAGTGCAGTGGTCACCAAACTTGTTCCTGGAGGGCCGGTGTCCTGCAGATTTTAGCTCCAACCCTAATCAAACACACCTGAACAAGCTAATCAAGGTCTTACTTGGAATACTTAAAAACATCTAGGCAGGTGTGTTAAGGCAAGTTGGAGCTAAATCCTGCAGGGACACCGGCCCTCCAGGACCAGGATTGGTGACCCCTGATCTAGTGTTTAGTAGAATTGATAAATACTCATCATCCATCAGCAAGCAAGCATTTTGTTTGTTTTGTTTTTAAAAGATGTCTAATAGATGTCTAATAGACATCTAAACATAGTTGTCTTGGCTAAAACAAGGATAAATTTGGGCTGTCAGTGAAAATCTAATAGACGTCTAAAAATAGGCCAAAACTAGACTAGTCATCAAATAAACAGAAATTAATGACTACACATATTATGCCAATAAAATAAGGCTCTTGCTAATAATACGCCAAAACAATCTGAATTAGAATTGTGTTCATTTTAATTATTAACCATTGTAAGGTAATAAAACTGAATATTACATGCCATTAAAACATTTTTTTTAACTTGAATATTGAACATCTTAAATTCAAAACATAAACATATTCACACATTTTTTAAAGTCAGATTTTTATAGACCCCTGAGCTACTTTCTTTGTGATCTAAATTTCACAATCTGAATTTGTGGTTTTGAATTTTAGAATATTGAATTTGATATTTCAAATTTCTTCATTCTGAAAACTTGAAACTGTATTTTTACAAACCCAATATCTGCAGTCTATGAATTCAGAACCAAAAAAAATCTAAGGTTTGAAAATATGTCAATAAAAATCTGACTTTTTTCAGTTGTCTTAAATTTCAGATGTTCAATACTCAAGTTAGGAATTTCAAATTCAAGTTAAGAAATTCAAATTCAAGACATTGTTTTAATGGCACATAATATTTAGTTTTATTAACTTAAAATTGTTAATAATTCAAATGAACACAATTTAAATTCAGTTTGTTTTGGCAAATTATTAGGTCCATAACATATAAAGTCTGTCTAATCTGTCTATTTGACGACTAGTATAGTTTGGGCTATTGTTATATGTTCATTAAATTTTCACTGAAAGCCCAAGTTTAGCCTTGTTTAAACTAAGCTGTCTACATTTAGATGTCAAATAGATGTCTATAAAACACAAAATTATTTGCTGGGCCATTTACAATGGCAAGCACTTTGCCAACATTAATGCCAATATAACACAACTGTTTTGAAAATATCTTGCCATTCCAACCTCATTGTCAACACTTGCACTTTGTAATGGGGTGAACAATCAAAATTGTATCATGCACAGACATAACAAATGATTGTAACAACATATTGCCTTAAGGTATAGACTAAACACATTAGATTTCACATTAGACTACAAACATTCATCAAACTTCTGAAGAAGGAGATATCAGATTAGTGCTGGACAGCCGCTGGAAGTTCTATCTCCGAAATCATACAAACACATTTTCAAATAGGCTCTATCCTTATGAATAAGCTGCATATTTGCAATGTAAACAACTACATTTTTGCCTAAAAAAGTTAGTCATTGTGGTCCAACAGCTGTAATGTTTCTATAACTGTAGAGAGTTTATTCTGCGGTGGGTGAAGTGATACACACTGATGAAAACAGTGTATAGAGAACACAACAGACCAAAACGAACTGTGTGTGTGTGTGTGTTTGTGTGTTTATGTATTTATATATATATATGTATATGCGATAAGTTTGTCCGATTGAAGACATCAAACTTGGCCTGTCTTCTAACCACAGGATGTTGTTGCATTCAGCATTGCTCTTCTAAATAGCACTGTTGTAACACGTTAGGTGACTTTGACCTTCCTGTCACAGTTAATCTGTCTGGCCATTCACCTCTAACATCCCTCACAAGGTATTTTCACCTACACCATTGCTGCTTACAAGATTACATTTGAACTGTACATGAAAATCTCAACCATTTACAAGAAAACAAAGTCCAACATCATTCAGATCAGAGTTCTGATTGTTTATCCTCTGTGAATCAATTATTACTATTCTTCTGTTTTCTGTGTTTCAGTTAGTAATGCTGGAGTAGGAATGATCGGCCCTGTTGAGTGTCAGACCATTGAAGAGATGAAAAGTGTCATGGACACAAACTTCTTTGGGCTTGTGCGACTCTTAAAGGTGGTTCTGCCTGATATGAAGAGGAGAAAAAGTGGCCATATAGTGGTCATCAGCAGCATCATGGGGATTCAGGGTGAGTTGCATATACATAAAAAAAAGCATTTGCTAATGTTTGGATTCTTCACACTGATTTTAGATCTTTACTTCCGTTTGAGAGAGATCCAACTTGGATACTTAAAGGATTAGGCACCATGACTTAAAGACGATCTGAAAGGATTCAAACAGGACTTTACTATCTCTAATCACTGTTGTGTTCATGTGCACAGGTATTTTGTTTAATGACATTTACGCTGCTTCCAAGTTTGCTGTTGAAGGCTTCTGTGAAAGTCTGGCGGTTCAAGCTATGAGATTCAATCTCAAGTAAGTGACTGAATGTTTTCAAAATCCCCTGACTACCGCATAGTCAATTCACATTTATTCAGTCTGAGGACATTTTTATCCTAAATTATAACACATAACATAACATAACATAACATAACAAAAACAACAAACAAAAGCAGACAGACTGACACTTATGTTAAGACTGCAAAGTATACCATGTCAGGTTTATACATACTTTTCCCCCAATAGATTAAGTTCTCCTATATATCCAAAATGTAAAAAAAAAAGGTTTACCTGTTTAATTGTTTTTAAAACCCGTACCATTAAACTCATCAGTTCATCCAGCCTGATCTCCTGAGGAAACGTAAGTATTTTACGTTTTGTCAGTTTAGTGGCTAATTCGCATAAATTCGTACAAGTTCAGTTGTACGAAAATGTACGATTTAAAAAAGAAGGCATGGCACCCAACCCCACCCCTAACCCCAACTGTCATTGTGTGATGAGCAAATGGTACAAAATTGTACGAATTAGCTACTAAATCAAAAACTTACGAATTGACATGAGAATGCGTGGGTTATCCAATTTTAACCAAAATGGACTCACATGATCTTTAGACCATGCTCATCAAAGGTTCTACAAACAAAGATTATAGGTCAAACTGTTTTCGAAGAAAATGCCCTGGAGGTGCTCTAATTGTTTAGTGGCCCCCTTGTGGTCAATTTATCATGAAATTTTAATAAACTCTAATAACTTTGGACTAATTTTGCATATTGTCATAAGACTGGTCTTGATAGGTTCTGTGCATCAACTTGAGAACATCAATACCAATTATGCCTTAATTGACTAAACTTCCTGTCTGCAATCTTAAATTAGGTTGAATGCATACTTTTTCAAATTCCTCCAACACGGTTTATCCGATTTCTACCAAATCTGACTCAGTTCATCTTCAGACCATGCTAACAAAATGTTATAGAATTTTATTCAATAGGTGAAGTTGTTTTTGTTTAGTGTACCGATATATGTGCTAGCTCAATGCCAAGCTGCATCTGAAACTGTATTCCTGCAATGCTTCAACATGTTGACACTAGGTGTGTCATTGTCACCTCACACTGTCCACACCACATAAATTTTGTATAAGGGCCACCTATTGGTCAAATACAATAAGCAGTTGACACATTCTTTTTGAGTTTCTCCGGTTTCAACAATTTTGCTTAATATTTATTTTGCCAATTGCTGCATGGTGCTTGCTGCCATGCTTACTGATTCTGCTTCTGGACTGCTTGGCCCATTGATTGCTGCTTGCAGCTATATTCATATTTAAAATTATTTAAAACTTACTATTGAAACAGAGATAGAGCAAAGTATAAAGATTACAAATGGCCAATAGTAGAAAACTTGTGTCATAAACATTTTGTTATACAATTTCTCAACTTTATTTCTCAGGTAATATATTTCTCTTTATTTATCAATATATCCAAGTTTAAAAGAACTAAGTTAATTTGTTTATGGTAATATGCCACAGTAACGTTGAGACTTCAGATGTGCTTTGAAATGACTGAATTACCCATTACATTTAAGTTGTCATTGAGGTTGTGTTTTATTTGCATATGTGTAGTATCAGCCTCATTGAACCTGGACCCGTCATCACAGAGTTTGAGCGTAAGGTGTATGAGGAAGGAATGAAGATAGACCTCTCCAAAGTTGATAAAGTGACTGCAGATATGTTTACCAACACCTGTTTGAAGAATTACGACCAAATGTTTAAGAGTTTTGGACAAACACCAGAGGACATTGCAGAGGTACTTGCATAATCTATCTAAAGCAATTAAGACCTAGAACATACTAATATTATTATTATTATTATTAAAGCACTTTACACATTTTTGGGGCGAATATCCTCATCCACCATCAGTGTGCAGCATCCACCTGGATGACATGAAGGCAGCCATATTGCGTGAGACTGCACACCACACACCAGCTGATTGGTGGAGTGGAGACAGTGTGATGAAGCCAATTATGATGGTTATAATAAGATGTTAAGGTGTTAGGTAAGAATCAGAAAATAAGATGGTTAGGTGGCCATGATGGACAGAGGCCAGTGGACAAATTTGGCCAGGATGCCGGGATTAAACCCCTACTCTTTGTCGAAGAACATTTTGGAATTTTTAATGACCACAGAGAGTTGGGACCTCAGTTTAACATCTTATCTAAAAGATGGCGCATACTAAGCAGTATGGAGTCCCCATCACTATACTGGGGCATTAAGACCCTCACAGACCACAAGTTGAGCATCTCCTTCTGGTCTCATTAACACCATTTCTGGCAGCAACCTAGCTTTCTCATGGTGGTCTCCCTTCCAGCCCTGCTTAGCTTCAGTAGGCAACCATGTGAGAATTGCAGAGAACTAGCTGCCGGCCTAGACGACTTTCAAATCATAACCAGAAAAAAAAGAAGTTTCACAAACTTTTGGCTGAATTAACAGCTTTTTGGCATATTCACACTACAGAAACTGAAAATGGTTTCAGTTTTAGCACTGCTAAAGTATATTAGGTCTAATCTAGGACAATAGAAATTGTAATTGTTGATTTTATTGATAAATGCAGTGCTTGATATTACTGTCAAATTATCTTAACTGTCATTTCACAGTGTCTATATGCAAATACAACCAGGAGAGAAAATAGTTCTTGGGGAACTGGGTGTGGTGGCTAGTCCCAATTATAATAGCCTCTTAACAGGTTTATGACAAGAGATTTATGATTTATGTTCTCTTGGTAATGTAAAGTTGTCATGACATCCCCTTAAAGAAAGGTGTTACCACAATTTTCAAGTGTGTGTTCTGTCTAATGTAACAATATGCTTTTCACCAATGTTTTGCTTCGTCATAATTACTACAACAGTCAAATATTTTATTTTTTTCTCTAACAAGCATGCATTCAAAATGATTACCATGGAGAATCCACCATTTCGGCATAAGACGAATGGTTTGTACACACCCATGACCACCCTGAAATATGCTGATCCAAACGGTGACCTTCCCATTGAAAGCTTCTACAAGATGATTTTTCAACATGACAAGGTGTTCAAAGCAAGTCTCACTATTCTCAAGCTCCTGCGCTGGAGAAGCCGTAAGAGCATTACACTGGATAAAGAAAAGACTGCCTCTTAAGGAATATTCTGCTGGAGCTCTGGATAGTATTCCAAAAAGCAGGTTAAGCGATTTACCTCTGTGAGTTTACTCAGAGTAAATGGATAATCTTAAGTTTCGTTCCAAAAACTAAGGTAACTCTATAAGCAGCTATAAATAGACTTACCTTCCACTCTTAATAAAAGTATGAGTACAATCAGTGGGGTGGTATGTTTTCTAAAAGTATACATTTGTACCTAAAAAGTCCATATTGTTAACTTGAAGGTATACAGTGTGTAGAAAAATTATTCACACCCACATATTTTGTAACATTATAACATTAAACATAAATGCATTTTATTGGAATTTTATGTAATAGACTAACAGAAAGAGGCACATAATTGTGAACTGGGAGAAAATGTACACTGTACATTTTCTGGAGTTTTTTTTTTACAAATAAAATCTGAAAATTGTGCCTTGTATGAATTTGTATTCATTCCCTTTTACTCTGATGCTATAAACTAAATCCAGTGGAACCACTTTCGAAAGTCACCTAATTAATCAATGTAGTTAATCTATTCTGTAAAGTTCTCAGTTTGTTGGAAAACATAAGTGAACTACCAGCACCAAGGATTCCAAGGGCCACACAAAACAGGTCATGGATAGAGTTGTGCAAAGTTTAAATCAGGATTTGGTTATAAAAAAAAAAAAAAAACACGTTTTGAACATCTCACAAAGCACTTTTCAATCCATAATTTGAAAAGTATGGCACAACTGCAAAACTAGCAAGACATGTGGAAGACACAGAAAATGAAAAAGAATGTGCTCTGGTCAGATCAGACCAAATGTAATCTTTCTGGTCAGAATGCAAAATGCTATGTGTACCCTGAAGGGCACCGATGGTATGCGCAAACTCATAGAAAAGATGTGCCTTCTTTTCTGGTCTGTGACCCCTCTCTGCAAGTGATTGTAAAGCTATGGACATATCTCTACCAGCTCTGCTACCTAACTCTCCAGTAAAATCGTAAAATCATGTGGCTAGTGTTGGTTTTTTTGCATGTTGTTCTACTTACTGACCCCAGGGGAATGAGAAATGAATCAGAGGAAAGAACCATGCTTTAAAGAAGAGTTCCAGAACATCTAATGATTGCATAATGGTCACAGACCAATGGGGGTTTGAAGCTGTTTAGGAGTCAAAGTGAACTTTGTTTTGAGAGTTTGTTTTGGCTGTTTGTGAGCTGTTTCGAACAGACAAAATAAGCAAAAAAAAAAAATACTTTGTTTTGGTCAGATTTTGTTTAAAAATATGTCATTTCAATTCATTGTTCTATTTCATTTGAAGTATAGGCCCAATCCCAATTCTATTTTTGTACCCATACCTGTATGACTGTGCATTTACACCCAGGCCATATTCATGTAAACACACAAAAACAGCATTGACATTATATCATTGACACTGTAAAGAGATTTTACCCAGCCACTAGACTTTTCTAACAGTGTATTCGACAAGTATTCGAGTGGCATCGAGTGACAGAATGTTATGGGCCCGCTATGCAGGAGTTTTTAGGGTTTATAATTAGCAGAATTTTGTGATTTTTATATTAGCGTTATTTATTTATTTTTTTTAAAGCATGCCGGAAAATTTTAACATGTTTATTTATATATTAAAACATATGCTTGCTTGTTGTAAATAATTTTAATAATGACAAAAAAATAAATAAATAAATAGTTTGTGCATCTCCTGACTTCCATGTGTAGCTATGCTGCCAATGTAGCTGGTGTATTCTGGGAAATTTTCGTACCCTTTGGTTTCGAATGTGGTCCTGAAAAATCAAGGACAACAGGACAATCAAGGACAGTTTCAAGGACAACCTAACCCTTTTCCTTAGCCTTATGTCTTCAAGCTAAACAGAATTGGGACTAAGGATCTACTCACACTATGCTATCCAAACCGTGCTCAGGCCTGTTTCCTAGATCGTTTGAGAAGTGTGAGTGCTCTGAAGCGGGCTCAGGCACGGTTCACTTGAACAGCCCTGGCCCGGTTGGAAGAGGTGTGCTATAGAGCGCGGTTCACTTGGGCTTTGGCGCGTATGCTTGTGTGTGAGAGAATAACACGCATAAGCCAGAAACTGAAAGCGAGACGTGACTTTTAAGGGACTGTTTCATATGGATTTATCAACTATTCTTACTGTTCAATGAACGCAAACTGTCATAGATTATTAAAGACGCAAACCCTTCATTGCACCACAGCTCCACCTTCAGCAAACGTCCAAATTCCTGCAGCACGAGGACTTTATGATTATTTATGAGCGTCAAAAGTGGCGGATCTGTTCGGCAAAATATTTGACTGTGTGTCACTGCGTTTCAAACGACTTAAACAATATAACTAAAGAAATCTCCTCTGTGCTGAGCACAAGCGATTACTGAACAGCACATCATCGATGACGCAAGCAACGTAACGTAAGTGCAGGTTGTCGGGGGGAGACGGGAGAGTGGACAAGTGTGCTTTGGCTCGGTTAAAGGCAACTGTACACAGTATGAGTACGCCCTAAGTGGAATGGAGTAAGTGGAAGGGCTAAGGGGTAGAATTAGGATTGGTACATACTGCCTTTGAAGTTTTCATATGACTTGAGACTGAAGTAGAGAAGACAACAACCCTAAACATAAATCCAGAGCTACAATGGTGTGGTTTTGATCAATTCATGTGTTAGAATGGCCCTGTTAATGTCCAGATCTAAACCCAATTGAGAATCTGTGGCATCTGTGGAATCTCTTCATGTGCAAAGCTTGAGATACACCCACACAAGACATGTAGTTGTAATAACAGCAAAGTATTGACTCAAGGGGCTGAATACAAATACAAGCAACACTTTTCAGATTCACTCACTTTCCTTTGGCTTATTCCTTGATTCATCAGGGGTCACCACAGTGGATTGAACCACTTGTTACTCTTGAACTTGAACCAGTGACCTTTTTACTGTGTCTCAACAATATATACCACTTTGGATTGGTCTGTCACATAAAATACCAATAAAATACATTTATGTTTGTGGTTATGACAAGATAAAATGTGGGAAAGTTCGAGGGGTATGAATACTCTTTCAGGTCACTGTATATAAAAACATTTTAAAATGTACCTTTTAGGAACAAATGCATACCTTTTTAAAGGGTACAAAAACACCACAGTGAATAGCCTCTTGTATTTATTTTTGAGTGCCTGAACAAAACTTGCTCCAAAGCTGGTTATGATTCAAGGTTAGTGTAAGGGTTAACCATAATTTTCAATGTTAAATAATTTGATGTTCAGCTTGAATGTTCAGCATGACAACTCTGTTTACTTTGTGTCACAAGAAAGAATGAAAAGGGTATTACAAATAGAGTGAGTTCACACTCTCCAGTGTACACATTGAAAAGAGCTTGTTTCATTAGTTTATTTAAGGTAATTGTCTCACATTAGCCTCACTCTCAATAACATGTTTTAACCAAAAGTCAGTAACACTTTATTTTAATAGTTAAATTGAGTATTAGTAGACCATCTGCTTAACATCTGTTGATACCCTCCTAGGGCTTAGTGGCCACATACGTAGACAGCACATTTAAGCTCTCAAGTGGCTATTTAAAATAATTTGAATGTTTTATAATTTGCTACAGACATAGTGTCATCCTGCAACTGTTTTGCAGCATTTGAAATGTCCCAAACACTATTTTTAACTGTCCGAAATGGGCAAAAAAAAAAAATAAAAACAATTATATGTATATATAATTTTTTATGAACATCATTTTTCTCTAAAAGTACATCACATCAAAAGATGATACTTAGGTTGTATTCTAATTAGGTTCCAATAAGCCCAAATACCAAAGATAAATAAAAAAATGCATGTAAAAAAAATAAATAAAAACAGCTTGGGCCTTAAAAGGATACAGACATTTAACTGACTATAAGAAACTTTGCAACATGTCAACTTACATTAACCCTAACCCCAACCTAACAGTCTACTTATAATCTAATGAGATATAGATGGCATGTTGATGCAATGTAACTTATCTTCAACAAACAGACAGACAGACAGACCACATTCACTGGACAACTGAACAAGCTAACTTCACCACCTATACTCCCTATACCCTATATAAGATGCATCACAAAATGGAAATAAGAGGACTAAATATAAAACTCCACCTGTACAGCATGCCCAATCATGCTTCTAAATGGACAATTTCCAAAAGAGTTTATCTCCAACACACCTGCCAAAAAGATTCTAATGAGCCTGATAGACCTTGATTAGCTAGTTTACTTGTGCTTAATTGGTGCTGGAGCAAAACCAGAGTCGCTTTAATGCAATGGTCTCAAACTCAACTCCTTAATGGCCACAGGTCTGCAGAGTTTAACTCCAACCAACTCCAACTCACACCTAATAATACTTTCAAGCAGTCTTGAACACCTTGTTTAGTTGGACCAGGTGTGGTTGATTAGCAACAAAACTGTGCAGAGGTCTTGCATTCCAGGAGTTTGATATTTAAATATGATTGTCTTTTTTTGCCCATATCATGATGTTCAACCAATTGAAACAACCTAAAATGAGAAATCATAGTATGGTATTAAAATAAAGATTATGAAATTACATTTTACAAAATAATGAAGTGCACAATACATAATTTATAACAAGCAAATAAAAATGTAGGGGTGATATCGTGGCTCAGAGGTTAGCACTGTCGCCTAGAGGGTCACTGATTCATGTCCTGGATGAGCCAGATGGCGTTTCTGTGTGGAGTTTGCATGATCTCCCCGTGTTTGCGTGGATTTCCTCCGGGGACTTAAGTTTCCCCTACAATCCAAAGAAATGCGCTATAGGTGAATTGAAAAAAACTAAATTGGCCGTAAATGTGTGTAAATGAGAGTGTATGGGTGTTTCCCAGTGATGGGTTGCAGCTGGAAGGGCCCTTCACTTTATAAAACATATGCTGGATAAGTTGGTGGTTCTGCTGATGAATAAAGGGACTAAGCCGAAGGAAAATGAATGAATGAATAAAAATATAAAGAGTAAATCTTCCAAACTTTAAAGAATAAAATAGTATCAATGGTTAATAAAAGCATATTTAATACAGTGTTTTCTTAAAATGAGCAATTATTGCTAAGTTTTGACCTGTTCTAATCAGTCGGACCTAAAAAAAACAAAAACATTTAGAGTACTAAAGACTGCTATTATGAATCAAGCAGAA